CTATTTGTGTCTGAAATACTGTGCTCTGCAAGTATCCTTGTAAACACAGCTGCTTATGGCTTAGGCGAAGGCTAAACAATTGAGAAAGAAAATGGATGTGTAACAGTATATTGCTTCACAGCAGTTTAATGTTCCTGTTGCTTTCTCTGTCATGAACGTTAAACAACAAAACACAAAGAAAAATCACTTCTGTAGCTTTAACACAGATTTGTTAGATTTAATTTATAGTGGCTATTTACTCCTTCATTAAAATGGTTTTAAAAAAGGTCTTTTAAAACAGGTCTATTATACAATGAATTATAGGCCTATAATTAAAATACTAACACTGCAGTCATCAATAAAAATCAATGAAATAAAAAGCTTTATTTCAAGCACCGACTTTCACCGACGATTCGTCTCGTCGTCTCTGAGAGAACAAGTGGCGTCAGATGCAGAAAGCTCTGCCATTACTCCGTCGTGGGCCCTGTGTCTCACCTGGTTGCCCATTGATGGCAACATTGCCTGAAGTTGCACAGCAACATTGCTCAAAAGGTTGCCCTGTGTATCATCAGTCGTAGTCAGTTATCTCTATCTTTTGCTGTAGTGTGTCAGTAGGAAATATCAGTTTACATTTCCAAACATTCATTTTGCCATTAATTGTAATAATGCAGTGAGATTTTTGTGCTCCACACAGAGATCTGATCTGATCATCATCAGTCTGTCTGGAGTAACATGAAGAAACAGAACAAACTGAGACAGACTCAATCCAGAAGAACTGTGTCTCCAAGATGCTTCAAGAAATCTGTTAAAAGTTTTAGGCACTTGTGTAAAAATGCTGTAAAATGAGGGATGCTGTCAAAAATAATGTCATTAATAGATTTTCTTTATGAATTAACTTCTGTTAACTAAATTAAATCAGCATTTGGTGCGAGCATCCTTTGCGTTTAAAGCAGCTTCCTTCCTCGGTGCACTTGAGCAGAGTTTCTCAGGAGCTTTGCAGCTATGTTTCTTGAAGCATCTTGGAGACACAGTTCTTCTGGATTGAGTCTGTCTCAGTTTGTTCTGTTTCTTCATGTCATTCCAGATATATATATATATATATATATATTATAGGATTTATAGTTTAGCATTTAAACCCCAGCTTCTCTACCAAATGTTGTTTGGAAATCATGTTTGAGCATCTTTCTTTACTATAAATGACACTGACTGTGATATTTTGCAATATGACACAATAACATTCAGATGTTTTACACTACCATTCAAAAGTTTGGGGTACTTCTTCTCACCAAAACTGCATTTATTTGACTAAAATACAGTAAAAACAGTAATATTGTGAAGTATTATTACAAATTTAAAATAACTGTTTTCTAATTTAATAATAATTTCTATTTAAAATAAGAAATTAATGTGTTATTTATTCCTGTCATTGATGATATCAATTGAAAATTGAGGATAAATAATAAATAAATTATAAAATACAGTCGTGACCTTTGGCCACGGCTGTACAGTAAAAATTGTTAAATAATATTACAGTTTAAAATAGCTGTTTTCTATGTGAATATCTGTTAAAATATAATTTATTTCTGTGATCAAAGCTGTATTTTCAGCATCATTACTCCGGTCATCAGTGTCACATGATCTTCAGAAATCATTCTAATATGCTGATTTGCTGCTCAAGAAACATTTCTGATTATTATCAATGTTGAAAACAGTTGTGCTGCTGAATATCTTTGTGGAAACTTCATTTTTCAGGATTCACAGATGAATAGAAAATTCAAAAGAACAGCATTTATTTGAAAAAGAAATATTTTGTAACATTATAAA